AGAGAGAGAGTGAGTGTGAGAGAGAGAGTGAGTGTGAGAGAGAGAGAGAGAGAGAGCGAGAGATTTTGCCTCAGCAATAACATACTTTTGTCTAGTGCATGCTTAATCCGCAGACCCACAGACTTATTGAACCTTTCTTTCTTCTCAGCAGTGTATGTGGAAAAAGAGCAGCAACAACAGGAAACTTTTAACTGTACATGTTAAATGACCAAAGGTGTCATCTTGACAGAAGTTGTTCTTTAAACGTCATAGTTATAATGTTAAAACTTAAAAGTATATAGTGCAAGCCAGACAATACAGAAGAACAACATACAATGTCACGGGGAAGCAGGAACTCATTAAGAAAGTTCACACTATGGGCATTCACTGCTTGCTGGCGCATTGAGATGCTAACAGCTACATTTGCAGGAAGCTCTTTATTGTGGTTCACATTGTTTGAGAGCTGAATTTGTACATGTACAGTGTTGTGAGGTGCTAAATAAAAGGGCTCATTACAATAAAAAAAGGAAAAAGTGCCAATTCCCCAGCAAGGGTCCCTTCAGCTGAAATGGGATGTATTCTGTCTTTCTGAAAACTCATCTACAGGCTGTAGAACCTCTTCACATGGTTTATTTGCAGGTTGATAGGTGGTAAGGATATCAAAGAAAGGGAGGAAATGACTGTTTGTTTACTTTCTGTAGTTTTGGGTAAAAAAAAAAAGCTTACACAAAGCTTGTTTTATGTAATGATCCAAAACAACAACTGGTCTCAATGAATTGAGACATCTCAACTACCACAAGTCAGCACTAAGCAACTCACTGTGACATTTAATATACTTCCTGTGCACCGCTTAAATTGTCCTCGTCATTTTCAGATTGTCATTTTACACATAGTTTTGCTTTAAGATTCAAAATAATAGGCATAAAGAGCAACAACTAAATACAATCAGAACTATCCAGGAAACACTACTACTGTGTTAAAGGATAAGTGCGCTTTCACATAAAGTGCACATCCCTTCTGCCTAGCAACCTCTAACCTAAAGTTACCCACTTAGTTGCCTGCATCCCATAGCAGTGGCCTGCAATGTGAAGGTGCATTATCCTTTACTGGTGGCAAGTTCACTCAATTTACCTTTAATACACTTTTTATATAAATCAACTGCAGCCAGATTTAAAGCACTGTACACAGAGTTTCTAGTCGAGATACAACCTCTTGCTACAATATTGAGTTTCGCAACTTCCCTTTCAGAGGGTGGTAACCATAACTAGGGCATACTTGACCACAATCAGGGAATACGTGACCTGTATTTTCCTGGCTCACAAACAGGGCCAATCACAAACTTAGGATATTGAAAGTCATTGGGCATTTTTTGCAGCAAAGCAGCTAGCTGCATACCAGGCAAGGAAGAATATTAGAGACACAGCACTATTAGGCTGTCAGTGCAGCGAATTTAAATGCAATCTTTTGGAGTGTGCCTTTAACATGTAACCCACTGTCAATATCGTAGGACCAAACCAGGTTCTGCTCCAAAACCACAGCCTTGGTCATATGACCAGCTACTAACAGTTTTAGTCTGTGGGTCTGGTTTATGAGAGTTTCTAGATGTTATAACTATATTTTAAAGTGACATTAAAGTCACATGGAAATACTGCTGTAAGGACTTAACTTATATGATGTCTTTTGCTCCGATCATCTTCTTCTTTCCAGTAGTTTTCAGGAGTTTCTCCAGCGCTGATGCCGGTCTCTGATCCAGCGCAGACTCCTCGTATCCCACGGTGTCTGTCTGCGTGCATTGACTTACCCTTTGTCTCTCATCTCACGGCCAAAGATCTCTACTGCGCATACGCCCGTCCCATCATACTTCATGGCCGCTCGAGAATCTTCAGATGTTCAGCCAGGAGCCAGTGGCGGAATCACATGTAAGTTTTAACTTATTTGGTAACTTTTTTTTTTTTTAAATGTTTTTACATATATCTACTACTTGCTAGCAGTAGATATGCAAAAAACCCCAAAGGTTTAATTGTACTTTAAGTATTTCCCTGTATATAAGAAATACCATGATGTAGCAAGAGATCTAATATAACATCTGCTGGAATCTATGTGCTCTCATGCACAGGCAAATCTCTCAACAAGAATGATGGAAGCGGAGTGATCTGCCTATGTAAACCCAAACATCCTCACCATTACTCACCATTACTACAATTATCCAGTTGCATAGCAATAGGCACAGCAGCCTACATGAATGTTATGGGGCCTGCGGGTGGAAGGGGGCGCCATTAGGGTGAATACAGAATCAACTTTAACATAGATAATGTGTGTGCATCTAAAGACAACACAAATCCAGCACTATACCATTAAGTATTGCAGAGGTTGCTGTTGACACTGATCATGTACCCCCTGTGATATTGCCAATCAAGAAGATTTGACATCAGATGTACAGGAGGAGAATTCACAATCTTAATCGCTAGTCACAGATTCCCATTGCGGCTGTGCAGGAAGGATAATTTGTTTAGCTGTCTTAGTAGTGCAGATGTATTCCCTCAGAACCTCTGGTCATCCTGGCTGCCACTGAAATTAACCTTGCATGTTTAATGCAGTCTTGCACAGGCTGTAAAAATCTCAGTGTTTCCTCAGCTAAAAACTAACAGCTGTTTGAAGTTCTGCAAAAAAAACAAAAACCCCATAGTTTAAAGAAGTTTGTATTAAGGTTATATAGTAACTGTGTGCAGGAGTACTAACAATTATGTCCTAATATAAAATATTGTGGTGGACATTATTATTGCTACTAGACCACCTCTTTCAGCACTTGCTTGCTTTGGAGATAGAAGGGGTTGGAGGGCCTTCGATCTAATATGCTGAAAAAAACCCATGAGCTATTGAGGATAGAGTGGTTAGCTGGAAGAGTAAGGTAAAAGTTAATTCCCTGCACTGCCCTCCTCTTCCCTGACTACTTATATCCTCAGTACTGGTCCCTGGTAAGGTACTATGCCTGCAGCTTTCCTACCTGTCCTTAGTGTAGACATGCTTTACGTTAAGATCAATGACAGAAGGGAGGTCAACAATTATCCCTTACTTGACCAAGTGTTGATAGGGCTTTATACCTTTTCTATGCAGAACATGGAACCATCACTAAACAGTGACAGATTATTTTCAGTACAGTGTACAATAAAAGTGTTTTTACTGCAGCCAATGTTGACAATAGTGCATTATCCCAACATGGTGTGGCTATGAAAAGTGATACTTGTGTCAACTACATCTAATGCAAATATAAGGACATTATGAAAACCAGCTCATTATTTTACTAGTTTTATTTAGCCTACATTACTCACAATATACAATGCGAGTATATTAAATAGATGCTGGGGATATATTACATGCCTTTAAATTTCTGAAAATCTACACTAAGTTACAATAATGTTGGCCATAGATGAGCAGAGTTGCACAGGGAATCTCTGCCTGTTATTTGTAGCCAAACAACCTGTAATTACTTTTCATGTGCCTTGTCCCAAAGGACTATTGTAATTAACAGCTTTCTTCCCTCTATTTATTAGGAAAAGATTGTCTGGGTTACAAGGCGACATTCCAACAAGCTAGAAAATCCAAGTGAGCGTGAAAAGGCACTTTTGACAATGGGATTGTTCATTATCACCTCTTAGTGTCACCTTTAAACTGCTGGTTACCTAAGCATCATGTGGAGATTTTAGATTGGGGTAAGATTGGGCCATTTTTTGCTAGCGTTAGCCAAATTAAGAATTAAATTGGGTAAAATTTACATACCTACCTTTTTACATATATATATATATATTACCTACCTTACATATTTTATTTACGTATTAGCATATTTTACCATCATAAAGCACATAATACATTATTAATTTAAAATGCTAGTAAATAAAATTGTTACTTTGTTGGTACTGACATTATTATATATAAATTGGTAATTTTGGTTTGCCAACTTATGTTTTTTTTTATACAAATATTTTTTTACAGATATAATAAACAATAGGAAAACAATAACATGTTCTAAGAGAACAAAATCTAAAAAAAATATGTTTATCATTTATGTAATATAAGCTGCAACTGGTGATATAAGCATCATAGTCATGAGAAAACATTTTTAAACTTTATATTAAGAACTGGGATATCAGGGACCAGTAAATCAACATTTCACTAAAGATTCAACCAAGGATTGTGAAACCAATTACCATGTTTTGACTTTCTTCTACCAACAGTGATAGCTTTTCATAAGACATTTTTCATTTGCATTGTAATCTGCAGATTGTTTTAGGTGATGCAAGAAATTCAATACAGGGTTCAGGTGATTTTGTTTTGGATAGTAGTCTGGACAACAAGGGCCATGTGTATGAAAAGTGTATTAACTGGAAAATCTCTTGTTGCCCATGGTTGTTATTTCTGTAGTGCAAAGCTGAAAATCAAACAAGAATTCTGACTGGTTTCTTCAAGCAACAAGACATTTTAGAACTGTTCCTAAAGTGTAAACAGGGCAATACCAGCTTATACAGGACAATGTTCTGGTCCGGTCACATCCCTTGAATCAGTAAATCAGAGTTATGTACCACCTATATTTCACAGGAAGCTTCATTTAACCACTAACCAAAATCTTATTAGTGGATTTCCACACATTTTCTCGAGCCATGTTACTTTGTTTTAATATTTAAATGCATATTTATAAAATAAATGAAAATATACATGACCATAAACTTCTGTAGGGCACACATTGTTATAAAATAGTGATTTTTCATTATATATATA